TTTTCTATGAAATATATTTTATTTATATCTTCTGTATATAATGCTTGCATAAAATATAAATATTTAAATACATATATATTTTCCAGTTATATTTATGCACATATGCATGCTAAGCACACTCGTCCGCTTAGTCCTGTTTTGAACAACATTTCGCATGTGTCATCCTGGCAGGCTCAACGCTATAGTTGTCTCATTCTAGCGTAGGCGCATGCCGTGTGGCGGGTGTAAAAATGCGTGAATTCGGCTTAGCTAACAGGTGTCATTCGCACATGTTTGCCGTTAGTTTCTGGCTTTGTTTTCACTGTTAATTTCGATGCGTTTCTCACTGTCTGCTCTTCTTCTTCTTTCAGCTAGCTGACGTGCTGGAAACCCAGTATAGCTTTACCAAAGACGATGCCAACCTAGCCACACAGAACTTTTTGAAGTCGTTCCGTCGCTGCCCGGACAACTCGCAAACGTCGCTGGACTCGTGGCGCACGCACTTGTGGCGCGAGTCGCTGCAGCAGAAGCACAAGCATCTCGCCGAGCAGATCTATCCGCAGTGGCTGAAGCTACGCTACCGTTACCTGGCCATACCGCCCGACTATGTGCAGCTGTTGCAGCGCATGCGTCGCGCCGGCTACCTTCTAGCGCTCATCACCAATGGCCCGTCGAATGCGCAGCGCGAGAAGATCAACAAGCTGCACGTCCGGGGCCACTTCGACTGCGTGCTCGTCTCCTCGGATCTGCCGTGGGAAAAACCGCATCCGGAAATATTCTATGCCGCTTGCAATTTTCTTGGCGTCAAGCCGCACGAATGCGCCATGATTGGCGATAAACTCGAGACGGACATCAAGGTGAGTGAACGCCATGATCCAATGACACCAGCTGAAACTGAGCTAAATTCTTTTGCCTGTAGTACTGTGAAGCCTTGTTGAGCTGATAGCAATGGAAGGCTGCTCATGTATATATGTATACATATGTACATATATATATATAGTGTAACTTTTGAACTTCAAGGTCTCATTTTCAATTCTAGTCTGGGTAGAGATTTGGGTGTAGCCTAGTGTAAAACAAGCTGGATTCCACTTTTGCATATCTCTCTCTCTCTCTCTCTCTCTCTTTCTTCAGGTCTGCACTGATCTTACACTAACTTTCTTACTCTCTCTCTTTCTCTCCCACTTCATATATCTCTACATTCCTTCGACATCTATTGTTCTCTGTCATTCCTTCGATCTTCATTGCTCTACCTTCACTCTCTCCAGCTGCAAATCTCCATTGCGATTCCTCTTGCCTCTATCTCTCTCTCTCTCTCTTTCTCTTTTCCCATATCTCCCTCTCTTAGCCGGCTCTCTCTCCCTTTCCCTCTCATTCTCGCCCTCTCTCTCACTCCCCATTCATAACTGCAATTTTTTCTTTGAGTTAGCTCCACTAACTCCTCAATCTTCTTCTTCTTTGCCAGGGCGGACATCTGGCCCAGCTGGGCTTGACCTTCTGGCTGCCGCTGAGCACCAGCAGCGCCGCCTCACAGTGCCTGGACGATGTGGAGTACAAGCCGCACGTAAAACTCAACAGCCTGCTGGATCTGTACAAATACTTTCCGCGCCTGAATGCCGTCGCAGCAGCCGCCACTCCGAGCACCACGAATCGTCGCAGCAGTCACAGCCAGAGCAGCAGCGGAAGCGGAAGTATCAGCGGCAGCGGAATCGGAAGTGGAGCCGGGAGCAATAGCGATCATGATCGCGGGGCGGGAGTGCGTCAGCAGCCATATGGCGAGGATTCGTATCAGCGCCAGAGCGCGTATAGGCGTGGCGGCTCATTGCCAGCAATGGACTGCTCCAACAGCGAGGCGGAGAACAGCTGCGATAGCTTTATTTAGGAACTAATACGGAGTCGGACAGAGTGATACGCGGCTGCCTAGCGGGGGGCGAATGTTACGTGCAGAAGTGGGAGAAAGAGATGAAGAATAGGAGGAGACAATGAGCAATTGAACGTGCAAGACATGGAAATGATGTACCTTCAGTTTACAAAACCAAACACACACACAGACAGACACACATGCACACATACAGAAACACACCCACACACACACAGTCACACTCACAATCGACTATATTAAATAGGTTGAAGTCTTAACGGAAATAATCAAATTGGAATTGAATCAGCGCAAAAATTTTAAATAGGCCAAGCTGAATCTCGCAAATCTGCCATATATCTATCGATATATATGTATATGTATATGAAATACTTTAAGCAACTCAAACTCAACAACTGTTGCAACCATATGTATTATATATATATATAAATATGTATTTTTCTAAAAACCAATAAGAGCAAATGAAATTGTTATAGCAGAGATATGATATATGCATGTACTATACATATACACACACATTTATATATATATAGGAATATATAAAGCTAGGCTATGGTAGCTGTAAGCTATAGACAGCACAATTTGTAAGATTTGCACCACCAGAAACACCAACTGCACCACCAAAACAAACAAAACAAAACAAAACTCACGAAACGGAAGAAAACCTGTTGGAGAAATGAAATCAAGAAATTAATGTAAAGGAAAAACTGAATACAAATTGTTAACTAATGTTGTAGGTATGTTGAATATGTACACACATACATATATAGATACTCTCTTTGTATATATATATATATATCATGCATATATATATATATAGATATATGTTGTTGCTAGTTTATTTTATTTTATTTTTTGCTTAAACACATGCGCTCTGCATGTGTGTGTGTGTGTGTGTGTGTGTGTGTGTATGTATGTGTGTCTGTGTGTGTGCGTGTGCGTGTGCTTGTTTTGTATCTTGTAGCATTAGCCAACGGAACTGAGCCAAACACTTAGCAAACTGTTATTCGCAATGCTTTGTACCCCCGCACAAATTCCCTCCAAGCGCAATCCTAAGGAACTGTTCCTAGCGTATGCCTGCGTGTGTGTGTGTGTGCGTGTACGCATGAGTGTGTGTGTGTCTGTTGAACTGCACTGTTATATATTATATACATACATACATACGTCAATAAATAACAAAGCAATAACATTGCAAAATCTAAACGAGCTTGTTCTCATTTGATTTTAGCCTGAAAAAGAAAGAGATAGGAACACCAGGTGAGAGGGAGAGAGAGATATATTTATAGCCTACTCTCTTTAATCGGTGTGGCACTCGAATTGCCCTAAATGTAGCGCTATCTAAAGAGTTTTGGAAGGATATATTGCACTTATTTCCTTACAAATTATGCCTAGAGCAACTCTATATGAGCTTTACAGAGATCACCCTTGTAAAGAGGGTGGATATAGTAATCTGGGTGGGTCTTACTTTGAGGGGTACAGCATTGATTCAACTTATGAATAAATGAAATGAGAAATTTAGGATAAACAACCAATTCCCGATGTTTTTAGAATTTTATAATAACCCAGTTATGGGTTCTATATGATACATGGTAGTCTTAAGAGATATGAGATTAACATATCTAGGGATAAGACATGTCACTATGATTATGATTTGTATGCGGATCAACTGGTATGAAATATCCCTAGATATATTATTGATAAGAAATACGGAAGCATCTAAAATATCTGGAAATATGAATATCATCGAGCACTTTAATAAATGGTTTGTCTTATCTAAAATGTCACTTGGATACAATTTTCAACTTGTCAGATTATCTATCACTAAATGACTCAGAAACTCCGGTAGATCTCGTACAGCTAAATAAACATTCTTGAAGCAAGCAATTTGGATGAATCATAGGTAAGCGCATGGAAATTTCCCACAGTAAATTTGTTGATAAGATCTAGCTATAACACTAATGGGGAATACGCCGTAAAGATAAGATGATTCATGACTGATAAACAAAGTTGTTATATAAGATATAGATGATATATACGATATACATGTTAAATATGATATATATTTTATATGATAAAGTCGGAACAGATTTAAGACTATGTAAAAACTAGTTAAGCATATGTATAATCGAACTCTCTCTCTCTCTCTCCCTCTCTTATAATATAGCTATACATATATATCCTATATACCTATACAGAAGTCCAAGTTTTAAATGAAACATTGATGGGGCTTTTCTTTCGAATTTATAAACTACAAATACTTTATTTATATGATAAATTGTATATAGAGCTGTCAGCAGCAAGCGAAGCAATATACATATACACACAAACGTATACATACATATACATCAACTGGAGCAGATCTAATGCTATATATAGTTAACAGACATCGCTTGCAAATGTCGGGGGACATACACGAAATTTTGTTGGGCATATTTGAAAACGTTACAAATTAGATTAAAAGCTCAGTTTTAGTTTTGTTGTCTGTGTTGTAGTCGGGTCGATGGCTAGCGACCTATAGTACAGTTATAAGATACATATACATATATAGATAGGACTTTTTTAGTTTTGCACACTATAGAAATACCCTTAAAACCTTTACTGGAAATGGATATACAGTTACGTACATATACATGGGACAATCGAGGACAGGACCGTATAAATTAACATTGTCAAAATCAAGTTGGGGGCGGGGTTAAAACTCTTAAGTAAGGCGAACAAAAAAAAATACCTATTGCGAAATACAACAGCAAATTGATTGACAACAGACTGTAACTGGTTATGTCATATATGTGCTATACTATATAAATGCTATGTATG